ACGAGAAAGTCTTGCTTGTGGTCGAGAGGGTAGCGGAACCTTTACTGTACTGTGTTTAGTTGCTATGTAAATTAATAACCTAAATATCTTGTAAAACCGAGCTGAGTTAAATAAATCATCAAATTATCATCCCCAGAGTCTCATGCAGCAGAGAAACGTCAATTAGTGAACGAGATAGTCTCGCTGAAAAAGATGTCAGACCTTCGTGAGCGAGAAAGTGCAAGACGAGATGTGCAAGTACATCAGTACAAGAGTGAAGCTGATAAAGGGTTGACTGCTTTACAGGAGGCGGAAAGAAAGGTCCAACACTACAGAATAGAGGTATGTAGAAAGTTTACTATATCAATGGTTCTGTGTTTAGTATCAATCCTTCGATTGCACCCAAAAATCAGTATATAGTATGTATATTCTCTATGTATTTCCTAACTAAAGGTGTTGGCAGGAGAATTTTGTTCAACAATCAAGATCTTCTTTGGCGGGTGATTATTTCCTTTATTCTCGGGACCTTAATTTATGATTTCGCGGGAGATATTGTGAGGGGAAATTAGATTCTAGTCACTTCTAGGGTTCACTGGGTTATGCGCGTAATTTAAACGTTTTTCGTCGAACTGACAAGCCATCAAAACGACCAATCATAGGAAAGGAGAAAATCATAAGGTGGCAATAAGACATCAATGCAAGAAGTAGCCATTAACGTGTAAACCAAAACCCAAAGAAACGAAACAGCCAGTCAGCAAGGAAACATGCCTGAAACGTGGGAAAACGTCTCTTGTCGCGCGTGACATTCGCCTCTAGCATTCGTGGGCCACATGTCGGGCGATAAGGCACGCTTCTGGAGAAGATCTGTAGAATGTGTATTCTTCCCTGGTTCTTCTTTTTTACTTGGATTTTCCACAAAAGAAATCTTTACTCTATTGCTTTGTTATGACTTTTTCTGGATCTGCCCTGTGTTATATGGAAAATAAATTATAAAGAAAATTGTCTAGAAGCCTAAAATTTTGGTTTTTTCAACTAAAGTTTTATAAATTGATTTTAGCTCGACCACAAGACTGAAGATTTGAACAATTTAAGAATTGAACTTGAAGAGAAGAGAGCTGAATGCTTGAAGCTTAAGACGCAGCTGCAAGAAATGGACGACAAGTTTTTTGACTCTCAAGCAAAAACTAAAGAGGAGTTAGGAAGCGCCCTTAGGGTGAGGACAGATCGCTTTTATTACATAAGGTACACTGTAAGGACTGCAAATTCAGTGTATTCTCCTATGTTTCAGGAAGAGATACGCCAATTAAGACTACAATTGAAAGAGAAAGAAATAAATGCTGAACAGGACAGAAGCTTGAGAAACAAGGTAGATGCTTTATCGAAAATTATTACACGACTCGGGCAGTCAGAGGGCCAATAACTAAAATCGACCAATCAAAATGCTCTATTGCCGGTCCAATATTCTCTAAGTATTGGACCGGGCACTGTCTGGAATGGTCGCGAATGATACCGCACTTGTGTCCCATTGAACTTCAGTCGTATAATAAATCTCTTATTAACCAAGCTTGCTCGGGACCGTACTGGAAGAATATCAGCCCTCGGTCTTTTTTGTACAGACCTCGCTGTGCTCGGTCCGTA